AAAAGTGCTATTGTAAGAGTTCTATGAAACCCTGTAAGCCAACGTATGATTTCAGCAGCCAGTTTCTTATGAGCACCAGCAGAGTTTAAAATATTCATTGAATATAATGAAGATAGTTGTTCAAATAACAATTTTGATTTATTTAGGCCGTTCATTTCATAAGCAAACCAATTTTTAACATGATCGAATAGTGTAAAAAAAAGGGTGACTATAGTTCAATCCTACTAAGCCAACCTTCGGCTTCAGTAAGCCACCGGATTTCACCGGACCAAAAGCAATTTTTATATTCAAATTAACAAAAATAATTTAATAATACATAATTCTATTTATCATTATTAAAATTAAATAGAATTACTACAATGTTTTAAGCATATTAAATCAAGTAAATATTTCATATAGCTTGCTCGTTAAAATCCATGCAATTTCGTAAGCCAACAATCCAAGCACGACAAATAGCCCGACCGATAGATCGAATTGATCGATTAGTCCTATTATTCTAGTTATGTGGTTTGGAGCAAGAGGAGACATTACTGAAAATAATTAAAAGTTGAAAAAATTGAGGTTCTTTGCATATCCCTGCTTCAACCCATAAGAAGGTTCTGTATGCTGGTAAATAGGCCTCCCCTTGGGACGATATATATAGTGCCCATAAATGTTTTCACAGGCGCTCTCAAAAAATAATACTTAATTATATACGTAGCAAACAAAATAAGTACAAAATCAAATTCAATGCAACTTCAACGAAAATAAAAGTGTCTTAAAATCTTTTTTAAATGATTGAAGATGAAGCCCAGGTTTTCTTAGCGATGCAGGGAGACTGTTCCACACAGTGGGACTGGCAATTGCAATATCACGTGATCCAATCTGTAGCCTTGCCACTGGCACCCCTAAGAGATTCGTATCATCTGACCGAAGGCAGAAACTAAGATACCGTTCCTTTTTTGGTAAATTTATTGGTAATGTAATCTGGTGACATTCCGGTTAAAGCCTTCAATCAATCAATCAATCAATCAATTAGCTTATAAAGCGCTATTTCCGCGATGTTCAACAGCGCTCCTCAATGAATTTTGAAAACAGATGGGTCTTGAGATCCGCTCTGAACTTCGCAAGTGATGGAGAAATAGTTAGAGAAGTAGGTAGAGAGTTCCAGAGAAAAGGACCAGAAAAAGCAAAAGCAGATTTGGCAAAAGAGTGTTTAACACGAGTTAAGAAAAAGCGAGAAGAAGAAGACAATCGTAACCGGGGCGTTAG